TGCACTGCAAAGAGCCAGCAGGAAAGCAATTACAGGAGCAGATGTGACTTGTGATGTAAATGTTCTTTCTGGCTTCTTTTTCTTTTTTTTTTTTTCTTTCTTTCTTTTTTTTTTTTTTTTTTTAAGAAAGAAAATCAGGGTGATTCCAAAGCCACAATCAGCTGGTATGTGAGCTGTATGGGCTCCCAGTGGCAATTTCAAACCTTTCCTTGACAGAATCAGGTGTAAAGACAATTTGCAGCACCGTACAAATCACTTTTTCAAAGGAAATGAGCAAGTAAGGTAATATTTTTGTGGCAGCTTCAGTAATATAACCCTGGGTGATTTCCACTATTCCATTTGCTGCCTTACTAGTGTCTATCCTGAGCAAGGTAGGGGAGTGATATGGAGTGATAAATCAGTCAGTAGTTTGTATCTCACATTTCTCTTGCAGACAAATTAATTCCGCAGTTGAATTAAATCATTTAGGCCTTTGAATCACTTCATTTTCAGGACACTGAGTAATTTCTGCAGATGCAGTGATAACAAGATGTAGCTGTAGCCTTCCCAGGTGCACCTTTGCCTGGTGTTCTGTAAGGATGAGACCAGCAAGTTGCCATGTGTTTGGTCCTATGAGTTCTGTTTTGTTTCCAGTTCTCTCCCTCGTCCCACTGTGGGGAGGGATGAGCAAATGGCCATGTAGATTTTCTGCTCTTTGAAGAATGGTGGAGAGGTCAGTTCGCTTGCTTGGGGCAAGTAGAGTTGCATGTGTGGCACCTGTCCATATGAGGGCTGGATTTCTCTCACGAGCTGTTTATATGCCCTTAGTTCTGACTGCCCCAATCTGCACCCTGCCTCACCTCCTTTCCCCACCCAAAGACTTCTCCTCAACCCAGCCAGGTTTCCCAGCAGCTCGCCGCAGGCCTGCTTGCATACAATGGCTCCGGTGGGTTTTACTGCATTTTGCTTTTCCTCTCTGTGTGGCTCACAGCCAGTAGAGATATTCTATACAGAGATAATGGCTTTGGCTTTATCGTTCACCTCTTATGTGTCTAAAAGGAGTTAAGAACACTGGAAGCTTCCAAGAAAAATAAATGAACTGTTGTTGTTCAAGGGGCCCTCTTTAAGGCTGTTTCATTGATTTAAAATAATAATAATAATAATAAACAGAAGCAACAAGTTGATCCTGCACATCAACCATACCCTATTTATTTTTAAATATGTCTTTAAATTTGGAGGACTGGTCGTGAATAGAAGGATTATAGAGTGCCTGTCGAGATGGGTCTGAAGTGAGTTCTCATCAGGCTCATTCCTGGGGGTGTTGCTCTGGATCCTGACCTCAGGGGATTCCATCCTATGTCTATGAGCATGAAGGACATGCAAAGCAAAAACAAAAGCAGAATCTCAACCAATCTTTTTTTTATTCCCTTATTTCTAAGTATCTGTCATTCTGTCTGGTTCCTTTTTGTGCTGTTCATGTTGTGACTCTCAAAGAGGCTGATGCTTCAGAAAATTTGATGGCCTGTTGAGGGTCCCACTGAGATCCCTTTAAGATATACCCCACTGGATAATGTAGTTAGCAGTCAGTATCACCAATTTCTTTTGGAAACAAGGCCTTCATCTCAGCAACAAAACAGCTCTTTCCTTTAACCAGGCCCAACTGAGGGACAGTGACTAAAGCCATCTCTTTCTCACCCACGTATCTCATCCACATTGCTGCTGTGGAAACGTCTGATCTTGGGAACTGCTTGTAAATGTGCGAGGCTTTGCTCTCAACAGCACTGAATATGGACACCTTCCAGTTTTCCTGAAAAATGTGATGTTCTCAGGGTAAGTGCTTGTGGTGGATAAACGAGAGGAATCCTTGCTTGTGCCTGGAATGGATCAACACACCAGCAGTGAGGCTGAAGCTAAGCAATGAGCCTCTAAATTGTACCACGTCAGGGGAATCTGAGCCTTCATTTAGTCATCTAACCAAAGTCAGCATTACAGCTGATCCTAAGTCTTGTGAGTGTGATCTGGGAAGAAATGAGTGCTGCCTGGAAAGGCCAGAGGCTGTGTTTCTCCCTGTGCAAGTATCGTAGAATCATAGAACCGTAGAATGTTTTGTGTTGGAAGTGACCTTAAAGCCCACGCAGTCCCAACTCCCTGCCGTGGGCAAGGCTGCCCACCTGCTCAGGCTGCACAGGCCTGCATCCAATGTACATACATATATGTGTGTGCACCCAGCACACCCTCCCCACAGATGTGGGGGGCTCTGCCTGCTCCCCCCTTTGTACTGCAGCCTTTCTATGGGTAGTGCAGTGCAGACTGGGAGACTCTCTTAAATCTTAAAATAGTGGAAAACTGAATAAGGCTGTAACTGTCATCACCTATTTAGAGAAATTCCTGAAGTGTAGACACCCATTTTCCAGCCTTTGATGACTGGGGGAAAAATTATCTTGCCAGGTGGAGTGTGGTGTCTCGTTCTTCTCTTCAGCAAGTGCAGGGCTGAATTTAGCAGGTTTGGAAAGAGACAGAAGCAAAATGTCTCTTCCTCTCTTCCCTCTTCTCCTGGGCCAGCAGCGCGTGTCTCATTAGAGAACGCAGCTCTGAAGATGTGTTAATTTTGGAGAGGCTGTAATGAGTCAAGGGGCTGGGCTGGCTTCCCCTTCCCAGCCGTGAGCTGAGCTGGGCGCTCACTGCGTGACTCAGATTTCTTTTTAAGAACCAGAGCCCAATAGACTCTGTCTTCGCTGATACCACTGGGACCAGAAGGCCTTTTTTTTCCCACTAACTTTAAAAACATGCTGATACACTGCAATTTTTTTTTTTTCCCCTCAGCATTTTGTTGTTGTTATTATTAAAACAGTACCAAGTCCCACAGCACCAAAGGATGGGATCTCTCCTGCTCTTTTCTCCCTTCCTCACCAGCTAAGAAAAAAAACGCAGTGTAATTATGCATAAATCAAAGTGTTAAAGGATTGCTGGGGTGCCCCTCCCTGAGCAGCTGGTGGCTGGGCTGAGCTCAGGGCACTGGATGAGGCTGCACAATCAGCATCCCACTGTCATCACCAATGGATTGGGCGTGCTGGACCATCCCACGCTGCTCTTGGACTGATGTGTCTGACCGAGGCCACGTGTCTGCACATGTGAATCCAACCAAGCCCAAAGGAGCAGGTCTGAGTCCAACAGCACTGCCCCACTCCGTGGCATTGTTCACCCCAAATTCCTTCAATTGCTGTCCGCAGTTTCCAGTCTCTTAGTCAGCATTTGCTGCAGTGCCTTCAGTCTGATGAGACCTGGGTTTTCCCACACTCCCCCGTAAATGGAAACACATTGTTCATCTTCATTTTATTTATTTATTTGGTGCAGAAAAACAAGATACTGCTCTGACTTTGAAGTGCTGTCTCTACAATGGTTTGTTCCTCTTTGGAGCAATGGGTTTTCCTAAAAGCCTCTCTCAGCAAGATCCTTATCAAGCTCGCCTTAGCGGGAGACAATGAACATTTCACAGCATGAAAAGGAAAAAAATAAAAAAAGGCTGTGGGGAAGGCAAATGCTTTATGTGAGGAGATAGGCAGGGTGCAGATGAGCTCCCCCAGCCTTGTAAACACAGATTATTTTCTGTCCCACCTCCGGTTCAGAATGTTTCCCGTGTTGAGTCAGCTCCGGAGCCTGTTGCGGGGTGGGTGCTGTTGGAGCAGCATGGAGAAGAAGGACCTGACAACCATCTGAACCCAGAGAGCTCACCCTGACGTGGCCCGAGAGGGTGCCTGTGGGGCCAGTAGTGAGCACGGGGCAGTGAGCGTAGGATCTGGGGGACACACGTGGTTCTGCGGGCAGCTGCTGGAGGTGGAACATTCTTCAGGCAGGGCAGGTAGCAGATTTGTGCGAAGGAAGCTTGTGGGCCGGTGTCTGTCATATTTCCAATTATTGGGCAGATGTTTGAAGCCAAGGCTCTGCAGTCAGTCAGTGTTTGTGGGTTAAAATAGAAACAAACAATGGGATAATGTAAACAGAGAGTGCTCCGGCTCAGAGCCTGGTGATAGCGCCTGCACTGTGGAGAAGATCCTTGCCCGAAAGCTTTGAAGAGCGCTGGCTGTATTTATTTTCCTAAAGATGGGTGTCTGTTCTATTTGCTCAGCTTCTTATGGGCTTGAATAGACAAGGGTCCAGTAAAGGTGGGTCTGGCTCTGAGCTCCAAAGGAGCCTGGAAGGAAAATGTGTTTTGGATCCTGACCTCATCCAAAAAATGTACCGCATTTCACTACCCCTAGATAGCTCACACTTTGGAAATGCCAAGAAACCGGAAACTTTCGCTCCAAAGTCAACTCTGCTTTCATTAATAATTATTTTAAGATGGCATTCGTAGAACAAAACAGTACTATATGGAGCAGTAGTAGGCCTGGGGGAGCTCAGGGGCGAGAATTTGCTCCACCAGCTCCGCTCTCAGGCTGACGCCCAAGAAGTACCTCCCCAGGTGCAGGGGGGAGCGGAGGGAGGAAGGCCGCCCCCTTGGCGGAGCAGAGACCCGGCACCATCTCCAGATTCCTTTGGGTGGTGGTTATGTGTGCTTGGGCCCATTTTACAGATGGGAAGGCCGAGCTGCGGGGGACGAAGACGCATGTCGTACTGACAAATATGGGTCTTGACCTTTTTCTTTGGGATGCCTTGGCTTATTTTCCTGTCACGACGATGCCGCCTGTGCCCTTCCACAAGTCGTGGGTCATTATAAATATCATTAGATTTATCACCTCTGTACGTAACGTGCCAATGCTGGCAGAGACTTTTGAAAATACAGCGGCAACGAGAAGCGTATGTTCTGAGAGCCGCCTTAGTGGGATTTTTTTTCTGCCAAGGACAATAATTTTTTTTTTCCTTTTTTTTTTCCTTTTTTTTTTTTTTTTTTTTTTCAAAATAAACATCACGCTGGAATGTGCTGCAGCAAATGGCTTGGGCTCTATTATATTTCATGCAGCTTTCTAAACAATTTTTAACCCTGCTGGCACGGTGTCAAACAGAAGGCAACCAACAATAGCAAAATCCCATTAAAGCTGAGAAGGTTCCTTCCTGAGGTGAACATGGCCAGAAATAGTAATCTTGGCTCTCTTTTCAATTTGGCATTGGGGACCAATAATGCATGTTCTACTAATGGAAATTATCTAATTTCATCCAAGTGCAGCTCCAGAGAGAGCTGGGCTGACGCACAAACAGTCAATATAACAACATTCTTCTTGAAGAGCTGAACAATAGGGCTTTGGTGGGACTGTGATTAACAACGTCAGACCAAGAACAAACAGAAGGTGTAAAAATAGGCATCTGAGGAGCTGACACAACGGACTATTTTTCATCTGTAAGGCCAGAGGAGAATGGCTTGTTAAATTGTGTGCTCGGAGCACTTCATCAGATGCCGTGTGGAAGAACCAAAAAAAATCCCATTTCCCATCTGGGTCTGAGTGTATGAAGGAACTGCACATGCCTTATTAATATAAATCATGCTAGGAGCGTAATTCCCATTAGCATCGAAAAGCCATTTTTCAATGAAAGACTCTTGCACCAGGAACACCTAAGGGGAAATAACAATGTTTGCTTCACTTGAAGAGAACAGTAAAATACAGCATGGGGACTGAGGAAGCAGAGAGCTGTTCCTTCTCTCCAACACTACAGGTTTGGGGTTTTGACACAACTATCGGAGCCACTGCCTTTCCCACCCCTCCCAGAAGCTGTATCCACATGTGGTGCAGAGAAGAGTTGGGCATTCAGATGTGCCAGACCAAGGAGTGGGACCACGGGCATGTGCTGGCTCCTGGTCCACATGTTGTCCCATGGGCATGTGTTCCTTTTCACTCAGTCCCAGCTCTCAAGGAAAGGGAGCTCTGGCCTTGAAACTTTAGACAACATTTCCATCTCTGGTTAAGCAGGTATGTTCATTTTTAATTTTTATGAAATCTCAGGCAGCTGCTTACTCTACATTATTTTTAGAGTGAGAAGGCAGCTCCACGTTTGCATAAATTAGACCAGGTCCCTCAGTGCCGCATCTCCATGGTTCTTGAACCCCTCCAGGGATGGTGACTTCACCACCTCTCTGGGCAGCCTGTGCCACTGCCTCACCGCTCTTCCTGAGAAGAAATTTCTGCTGATATCCAACCAAAAATGATGGAACCCATGGAAATGGCTAAGAATGGAGGGGAAGCTGGTGAGCTGGGTAATGTCCAGCATCCGATGAGTGCGCAAAGCACAGAGAGGTGATCCAAGAGAAGGAAACCCAGGATACCTTCAGTGCACGGAAGGGAAAAGCCCTGTAGCTGAACCCAGCCCAGCAGCTGACCCTGAGGTTTGACGGGTTTGCAGATTTTATTTTTTTTGCACTAGAGGGTGCTGCTCTGTTAGCATTCGGGAACGCTTGCAGCACGGTATTGCTTTCACCACTGTGTGGGGGTGGGCTGAGGGGATGCATGTTGGTGCTCACAGCAGCACTCAGACAGGCATGGGGTGAAGGAGGGCTGCTGGGCTGGGAAAGAACTTCTCTGCATGGAAAAGTTCTGTACATCTAAGATCAAGGGTAAAAACATGTGGTTTAGTAACGGTGACAAATGAGAGGGAAAACTGGACGCCTTTTCTTTTTTCCTCTCTGTTTCACAGTTCCAGGATGAATGAGTGCCTTGGGGAGCTCAGAAATGAGACAACACAGTGAGAAGAGGACAGTGAGTGCAGACACTGTCAGTACCAAACCTTTGGAATTAACTGCTGCAGGATGGATAGCCAGCAACTCTTGCTGATGTGCTCTAGCAGAAGTAAAATCAAAGTGCCCTTTTATAATTGTTTAGATACAAAGTGAAGGGCATCCAGCTCCCTGACACTAGGATGCAGAATGGTGTGTGAGAGGGACTGTGGGAAATGACCTCCCCATGCATGGCCGTGCCCACTGACTGTGTTTCCATCACACAAGGCACAGAGCAAGTGGACAGTGCCTAGGGAGAGGGCACATACCCTTTGGGCAAATGGTATCCCATTAGGGTTCTTTAAGAGCTGCAATGGCACCGTTCTGCAGAGGTGTGCTCCTAACAAGGAAGGCAGTGTTCTAAAGCCCACCAGTGTTTAAGTCCACTGAGAGCATGGAAGGAGGGCTGGAAGAAAACCAATAATTACTCTCAGATAAAATTAGTTTTACCAAGTGATTTTCTTCTAGAATCTTGGGTTTGTGTATGGGCTGCCTGTGCTGTAGATACACCTGCATTCTGATAGCTCTATTTCCAGTGCTCCTGCATTTCTGACTGCTGTTGGCAAGAAGCTGTAGATTGTTTCTTACTCAGAGTTTTCTTACACGCACCTTAGTGTTTCCTCCTTCAATTCTGGATGTCCTCTAAGCATTGCACCTTTAAGGTACTGCTACTGCAGGGGCCATGGCAAAAGGCACTACTGCACAATCCAGATGAGTATGGGGAATTGAGGTGGAGTTACTCCAACGAAAATTGGAAAATGCTCTGCTCTAGGAATGGCAATTGCCCTGTTAATGCAAGCTGGGTGTGTGCAGGAGCACAGCACAGCGGGGCAGCACTGCTGCCTCGTCACTTCTCATCAGCTGCCGCAGCTAATTGCAAGGGCTCTCTGCAGACCTCTCAGCTTGTGTGGCCTGGAAAATCCCAGGGACAATCTTCAGGCAGTGCACAGGTGGGGTAACCCGTGGAGCCTGCGATGCCAAAGCAGAGAGTTTGGGGAATGGTGGCAGAGAAGTTTTTTTCTTCCAGGTGGAGTTAATCCTCTGCATGCTGGCACCCCTGGGGGAGGGAGCGGGCAGGCAGGGTTGGAGAAAATTTGGGAGACTGCTGTTTCAACTTTGAGCAGCTTGAACAGAAACCTTACAGCACCACGGGATCACTGCTCTAAATGTCTGAAAATGGGCTTCCCAAAGGCCGGCACGCCAAAGGACTGCCTGACCCAACTGCAAGGAAACCCTGAGGAAGGGACCATCTTGACCTGGCTGTCCTGCAGCACAGAGTTTCCTTTCCCAGGGTTGTGGGGATGCTAATTATTACCCTGATGTTTTTAAAAACAGGATTGATGTAGCTGCAGGTTTTCATGAAAAATAAAGAGAAAGAAAGGAATGAAGAATGAAAGAGAAGATAGGAAAAAAAAAAAAAAAAAGGAAGGAAGAAAAGAAAGAAAAAGAAATGAAGAAATAAAGGAAAAAAGGAAAGAAGGGAAGGGGAGAGAAGGGGAGAGAAGGGGAGGAAAGAGAAGGAAAGGTTAGGGAAAGGAAGGAAGAAAAGGAAGAAAAAAGAAATGAAGAAAGAAAGAGAGAGAGAAAGAAAGGAAGGAAGGATGAAAGAAAGAGAAAGAGACGAAAAAAGAAAGAAAAAAATGAAAAAAAAAGAACATAAGAAAGAAAGAAGGAAGGAAGGGAGGAAGGAGAAAGAAAGGAAGGAAGAAAATATGAAAGGAAAAAAACAAAGAAAGAAAGAAAATAAGAAATGAAAGAAGGAAGAAAGGAAGTTGGAAAGAAAGTAGGGAAGAAAGAAAGAAGGAAAAAGAAAGAAAAAAAAAAAGAAAGACGGAGAGAGAAAGAAAGGAAAGAAAGAAGGGAAAAAGGAAGGAAGAAGGGAAAAAAGGAAGGAGTGCGAAGGGCCGTGGCACAGCGGTTTCGTCGCGGAGAGGCGCGGAGCAGCGCGCAGCCCCAGCGCTGTGCCCTCGGCAGGTGGCGGCAGAGCGCGGCCGTGGCCGGGGGGGGACCGGGGGTGCTCGGGCTGCGCTGCACCAGGGGGATCCGAAGGGCCGTGCGAAGCGACTGAAAAATGAAGTCCTCTAGAGAAAGCGGGAATTTTGATGTATAGCATCTACGCGTTTCTATCCGTAGGTATAGACAGAACAGCAACAACAAAGACGTATTTAAGCCTAAAAAAGAGAAAGAGAGCTGGGGTGGGATGCCGGGCGGCGGAGGGAAGGCCCGGCACCGGGCAGCTGGGGGGGTGCGGGGGGCTCGGCCCACGGCGGGATGCTCCGAGCGGGGAGCGGAGACGAGGAGCAGAGGCGGAGGCGCGGGGTGCGTCCGGCTGCGGGCGTGCGGAGCTCGCGAGGTTCTTCTCCACCTCCTCCTCGATCGGCATCGGGGGGAAAAATAATAAAAATAAAATAAAAACAATAATAAAAGTCCTTCGGGACTTCATTCCGCTTAAAAAAAAAAAGCGCATCATCTTCAGTCCATTCGCCTCCTTCTCGAGTCCCTCGGAAAGGGAGATTAAAGGGGAAAGTCGCAGCTGTATATTTGTGTTTTCATTGCTAGAAGGGAATTGATTTCCTCGCGTTTATTTTTGTAGTTGCAATACACAAGGGCGGATTTGCGTCACCCAAGCAACTTGCTGGTCGAGATAAAGTTGCACAAATATTGAAAAGGGAAGTGCTCGCGCTCATTATGAAGTTTTTCTCCGGAAGAAATAAGGATTTCTGCTGTATCCTAAAATACTGAAGCCGCTTCTATTTTAGGACAAATCTCGCAGGCACATCCGCTCATTTAGTCCGAGTTGGAACCTCTCGAAAAAACAGGAGATGACCCAGGCTGCAGCCGAGCCCCGCGCTTCCTGCAGCCTTCGGGCACCGCTGAGCACCGCTGCGCACCGGCTGCGCGGCAGAGCAAAGCTGCATGCCCCAGGTGTAGCGGGCACCGCTCCGGGTTCGGGGAATAAAAGGGGGAAAGCAACCGAACAAAAGCAGCGATCCACCTTTGCTGCCGATACATACGCGGTCTCGGTGTCGGTGCAGCGATGACCGAATTTCCCCCCGCGAGAGGACGGGGCGGGGGTGGCGGCGTTCGTTGCTGCCGTGAGCAGCGGTGGGGGGCACAGCCCGGCCGGGGCGCAGGACCCAAGAGTGGGCGCACACTCGTTTGGGACGGAGCGAGAGCTGCAGAGCAGCAACGGGGCCGGCAGCGCGGGGGGATGCGGGGAAGGGGAATACGGGAGAAGCTCAGAGCCGAGCCGGTCTCGCTTTCCCCTCGCTTTCGGACACGGCTCGGCAGTGCTTATTATCGTTTCCATTTTAACGTTGTGCTGGTAAAACACAACGCAAACCAAAGCCGTGCCCGCTCCGGGAGCGCGCTCGGCCTCGAGCACAAAGCGCGGCCGCCCCATACCTGCGGCGGGGGACCGCTTCACCATCAGGCCCTGGGAAGGCGCCGAATTTTGAATGCTATTTTCAAAACTAATAACAATTTTTGGAAACAAAACCAAAGCAAATTCGCAACCGCACGACTCCAGACCTGCTCACAGCATCTCCATTTGTGGAAACGACAATAAAAAATGTTCTTTATAAGTATCCCATTTGTATTTTCATCGGTATTTGTGTTTAAATTTGTGTATCTATTTCTATTTTTAAATGCATTGTTATTGTTGTCATTTCTATTTCATTCCCGTTTCTATTTCTATTTTTATTTCTATTGTCTTCCCAGCACCAGCTCGGGATAGACGTGGGCGCTGTGTGTCAGCACAACCCACGCTCTGATGGGTTTGTCTCCCAAACATTCCAGAGACCAAAGTATGCGGCAATATTCTAAAAGAACAAAATTGGCAATTTGGATGCCAAATCTTCCAAAATTACGAATCGGGCTTGAGTGGAAACGGCGCCGAGCAACGGGCGGAGTGCCCCCCTGAAGTTCTACACACGGAGATGCCACGAAGGCGCGCAGCCCCGGCCTCCCGCAGACGCACGCTGCGCACATGGCTGTGGGCAACGAGGCGCGGAGCGGCCCGGCCTCGTGTGTCATTCTGAGGCTGCGGCTGTCACCGGTCACGACCGTCCCGCCCGGGTTACTGCGGGTGAGGGCGCGGGGCACACCTTGAGGGCCCCAGCACGGCCCAGCACAGCTCAGCACGGCCCAGCGAGGCCCATCCCGGCCCGGCAACGCGGGGCGTGTCGGCGGGCGGTGCGTTCCGGCCCCGCGGAGCTCGGATTGGGCGCGGGCGGGCGGGGGGCGGCGGGAGCGAGGGCTGCGGCGGGGCCGGGAGCCGCTGCCAGAGAAAGTTTGGGGAGGGAGGGGTGCATTTTTTCCCCGGCGCGAAGAAGGGGGTTTGTTTTGTTTTCTTTGCGCCGCTGCTCTCCCGCGCTGGCCGCTCGCTCTCTGCCTCTCGCCGCGAGTTTTGGGGACTTCTTCCTTTTTTTTTTTTTTTTTTCCCCTTTCCCCCCCCCTTTAATTTTTTTTTTTTTCCTATTTTACTTTATTTTTCCCTGCCTCTTCGGCAAGCGCTTTCCCGCAGCCACCCCCGCCATCCTTCCCCATGCCCGAGGGCCGGCGGGCAGCCCCGCGCCGCGCTCCCGGCAGCTGAGCCGCTCCCCGGGCGCGCAGCCCGGCCGCCGCCGGCAGGATGTACACGGCCGGCCTGGCTCCCTTCTACGCCTCCAACTTCAGCCTCTGGTCAGCGGCGTATTGCTCGGCGGCGGGGCCGGCGGCCGGCGGCTGCTTCCCTCTGGAGGCGGCCAAGAAACCGTCCTTCTGCATCGCCGACATCCTGCACGCCGGCGGAGAGGCGGCGGCCGGACCCGCCGATGCAGCGCCCGGGCTGCCAGCGGCCGCCGCAGCCGCGCTCGGCTCCATCCTCCCCGGCGGTCCCTTCCACGCCGCCGCCTCCCCGCTGCGGCCGACGCCCGTCGTGGCCCCCGACGCCCCCTCCGGGGCCGCCGCCGCGTTCCCTCCTCGCCTCTCGCCGCTCTCCGCCGCCTTCCACCCTCCGCACCACCATCGCGCCCCGCAGCACCGCAACCCCGCGGCGGCGGCGGCGGCACCGGGCGGAGGAGGGGGAACCCCTGCGCGGGGACCCGGGGGCCACACGGGCGGCACGGCGCCGGCGCCCGCCAGCAAGGACCTGAAATTCGGCATCGACCGCATTTTGTCGGCGGAGTTTGACCCCAAAGTGAAGGAAGGCAACACATTGAGAGGTAGAGAAATCGCCGCGTCCGCTTTGCGTGCTCGGCGCTGGGTTGTTTTCCCCGTCCCCGCGGCTTTACACCGAGAAAAGCGGGGAACGAGGGCTCTCCCGCACCCCGCGAGGCGGCACCCCCTTGGAAATAGCGATAGCCTCCATGTAGCGAAGCCGAGGCGGGCAGGGCCACGGCCTCTCCCCGAAGCCCGAAGGAGGGAGCGCACGGCAGGGCTCCGTTCGCTCCGTCGGGGCCCGACCGCGCCGTAACCGCGCTCTCCTTGTTCTGTGCTCACAGATCTCACCTCGCTATTAAGTACCAGCCGCCAGGCCGGGGTTCACCTCCCCGCCTTGCAGCCGTCCGCCGGCCAGTTCTTCGCGTCTCTAGAGCCCATTAACGAGGCCTCTGCCCTTCTGGGGCCCCTAAACACGGCCCCAAGGAGCTCAGTTCAGCACCAGTTTCAGGACACTTTTCCAGGTACATCTCGCTCCCCCCGTGGCACCGGGCCCGCAGGGACTCGCGTTTGTAAACGCTGGAGATGGTTACTATTTTTTTTTTTTTAATAATGATATGATGATGATTTGGTTTTTTTCTTCGCGAGGCTCGGGTTTGGGACGCCC